CATGAAAGCTCTTGCTATTAAGTTACTAGGGAATTATAGACTAATTAGAAAAATTGTAGCTATAAAACACAAATTCTGTTTAGGAATTCACCAAATCCGCCGAGCTGGTGATGGCCCAATTTTTCGCAGATCAACTCCAGGCTAAAGCGTATAAATATGAAGATTGTGAGAAGGTCTTTCAAATTGTATGGCGCTCGAGAATGGAATTGGTAAGGATCCGCGCTTTCAGTTTTGATAGCGATTTCTAGAGCTCGATGGCGATTCTCTATCATACTGTTAAATCGAATGGAGACGGGCGGGTTGTTGGGAATTTTTTGAAGGAAGAGCAAAAGCAAATTCAGACGTTGAAGGCTTTGGAAAAACAGGTAGGAAATATAGCTTTTAAAAAGGCTTAATATATATAAAAATACAGAAAAATCTATAAAGTGCATCATTTAGTGGCGTCGTTTCGCCTCAAAACTCGAATTTTCCTACTTTGCCGTCAACGAAACTATAGCCCGTTTTCAAGAGGGTCAAGGCCTCGATGAGATCTATCAGAAAATCGATTCCCACAAGTGGTAGGTTAACAAACGTTACAAAGGAACAAAACCAAAATTTTTTTAGGGAAGACGGTACAAACTACAACGACTACTTCCTGCTCTCCTACAGCGTGCCACCAAGGATGAAGCGATATTCAGAGTACACCTACGCGGAACTGATCAACAACCAGACCCTGATTTTGCACAGGAGAAGCGGGAATATGGGTGAGTTTTTGAAAAACGGGACTAAAGCCACAAATTAGCGCCGGAACCTGCGAGCAGCAATCGGGCTTGGTATAATTGGTACCCCGAGGAGCTTCATACTATCGAGATGGAGATTCGGGACAGGTTTTAAACGTTTTTTTTTAGTAGAAAAAGCGTCTTATATTTTAGTTTGGATGAAATCAACCCGGTTGGTAAAACTCTTGACGAGTTGGCGGATATTGTGCATTATATGGTTTACAAGAAATGTGGAATGTGCCCGGTGCGTCGAGAAACGTTTAGAAAACAATAATTTGCAAAAATCGAGGCTATTTTCTGATAGATAGCATCGCCTAGCTCCTCCTCGGGGTACCAATTATACCAAGCCAGCAACTGATAAATAAAATTTAATGCGAGTTTTTAGTCTGTAATCACGAGTACGGAAGATCCGATGCCGCAGTTCTACGCGGAGGGCAGCGAGAAATCCCCCGCAGGCCGCATCATCAAGGCGTTCGGGCGGATTTCGATATTTATCGGGTTTTAATGGGCTTTATGTATATGCGTGCGTGTCAATAAAGTATTAACGTACTCGGGGAATACCGACTCAATGTAGGTTATACTCTTTAGCTTCACAAAACTTCACAATTGGATGGTTTTATTATGGCATCGATGTGATAAAGACTTATCAAACTGTTTCAGCAAGGAGGAGCAAGCAAACTAAATGCAGCCGTCGCCACGGATGAAGATGCGCGTATGGCCGCAATGACACCGGATTCCACAACGCGCCCATAGTCATTCAGCCTTCCTGGCGTCGGTTTTAGGCACCAAATGCTAGGCTTGACCTAAAACCGTATTTACTGATTCTGCAGAATTTAATTTCTCGCACCACGAGAATCATTTATAGAAAAGTAGAGCTGACAAGACGATACAGAAAATCAGCAGAAAAGCCACAGATACAGTAAGAGAAAGACTTATAAAATTCTTAATAGACCAATGGAACTTTGCGCCGACTTATATTTTGGAGACCAATTTTTTAGCCTTCTGAACTAGACAGACTATTGGCCTTTCTGGGATTATCCAACGCCGGATGATGTATTCGCAGCACGTGTAAATCGTGAAGGGGACGACGATGTGCGGTACGACAACCCTATAATATGTGATAAATTCTGTTCATATACCGATCCGACCTATTTCAGACAAACAAGATAAAACCTAACCAAGGAAGCATTTCTCGGCACTTGAGGGACCAAATGACGGCAAAAAGCGGGTTGCCAATCGGCGCGCGAACATATGTCGTTCCTGAAATTGAGAATTATAGAGCGCCAAAATTCGTTTTGAAATGAATTTGAATTGACAAGGGACCATCAAAAATTGACGGAAGGTAGCCTCTTGATGGATGTCGTCCAGCGAAGATTTTTAAAATGGTAAAATACAGACCAAATGATATCGCGATAGCCGGGATCACAGAACAAATGACCGTGCAAGTCTAAATATTCAAACTTTTCACGAACTATCTCCAAACCTGTGCATGGCGGGTCAGATGAGTTTTGTTGCTTTTCGATCCCAATAAGAGGACAGCAATATGACTGGCTTTGTTCGGACTCTAAACAAAGGAAAATGGTTTTTCACATCGAAACTAACGTGACGCTGGTGGAACCGTTTTGCCCCTGCTTCCATGAACGCCGGCGTGAGTTTTAGGAACAAGGCGATGCTCGCCTCACAAACGCTGGCTAGCAGAAATGAGTGGTTCTGTAAAAACCAGAACCAAAATGATTCGTTAAAAATCTCTACCTGACATTCGGCGGACGCTTTGCCTTTTAGAAGTATTGAACCGGTGGTGCAGCCTAAGACGGACCCCAGAAGTACCGCCACAGCACGTTGTAGGTTGAGGACCGTATTTCTAGAATAACTTTGGCCTGCTGACAATCAAATGACATACTTCTTAAAAAATACTTGTGTGATTAGTGGGAGAATACCGGCCGCTTTTTCATCTTTCCAGGCGGACGTAAACCAAAAAACGAGCGTCAGTCCTAACGCGTGCGCGAATTCTCCTTGATCAGCTCGCATAGCGCCTGAATTTCAGAAATTTGTTCAGTCAAACGTGACATACCTGCGCCCATAAGGGCCAAAAGAAAGTTGTGCCCAATTGGAAGTTTAGCCATATAAATGCGACTCCTTTTGTGCAAAATTGGATTTGTGCCGCCCAAGCTTTCCCTAAAATAACACCGGTGAACCCAGAAGAGTCCAAATAAACCAACCATCAACATTTAATGCAACAAACCGATATGGATCAAAATATACCTTGTGGAACACATAATGAGACCATGGGCGATTATGAACACAAAGCCTAGTAACGCATTGTCCCAACTGGTCCAGGGGCGGTCGTAGTTGAGTGAGTCCATGTCGATGATAACTGAAAAGAATAAAAATAACTTTTAGAAAGAGACCCCAGCAGAGAAATTCCTCCACTTTGTGAAAATTTAACTAAGAAAAATCTAATGAACAGGAATTGCGTAAACTTGTGGTAAAGTCACTACCCCGAAAGTCACTACCCCGAAAAGTCACCACCCGGAAAAGTCATTACCCCGAAATAATTTGCATGATTTTTATAGGAAAACACGCACGGAAACTGGATTTTTCCCGGGGAAAAACAAGTTATCATTTTCCGGGGTGAAACGATTCGGGGTAGTGACCCCGGGGTAGTGACTTTCGGGTGAGTGACTCGGGTAGTGCTTTCGGGGTAGTGACTTTCGGGGTAGTGACTTTCGGGGTAGTGACTTTCGGGGTAGTGACTTTTCGGGGTAGTGACCGGACGCCCGTAAACTTTAACCGTTATTGGTGCTTAGGCAAGAACTTTTGCATTCAACGTGGGCAATTAACAAATTTTTGGGTTGGACGGCAGCATTTGCTAACAAGGGAACCAAGGGGTTTTGGGGTGTGGCCCAACCTATTTTGTGCAGAATTTTTTTCCAAAAAGCTCGTTTCAGAAAGTGATAGCGTCTCAACGTTCCAATTTTTTGAACTTCAAGGCCATTTATTTTGCCTTTCCCGGCTGATTTCGCAAACATGAGTATCGCCATCGTATTAGAGAATGTTTCTTTATCGAATGAGCCATTTAACTCAAAAAGTTGAAAATCGCGAAAATGATGAGACTTGCTTGTTATGGACTGCGATTTTTGTATGGGAAATGATCAAATCTACCATTCGAATCAGAAAAAAAAAGATTTTTCTACGAGATTTGATTAATTAAGACGGCAAGAATAAAACACAAAGGTTGAACATCGTAGCAGATGACCTCCCGCGGTCTCAAATATATTGTTAAAACAGCTATAGCTTTTAAAATCGGGCTACTTGGCAAAAATTGAAAACAGATACGCAATCAGCAAAACAATTCTACACAAAATAGGCTGGGTCCCTACTGAAACACCACCTTAACCTTAAGTGGTTCCCTTGTAAGTAAACTCTGCATAAAAGTAATATTTGAGCCAAATCATGTAATGACACTATGTATGTAGTGTTGACGGACCAATACACATGGCACTCAGTAAGTGTGCGTCTAGGCTCACCAGCCGCAAAAGATATTCAATACTAAATAAAGAGGTGGTTCTCGGGATCATCGGCATCAATTCCTATGCTTAAACCATTCAAGAATTTTGTAAATATTCAACATATCATCGGATCGAGTTCGGTCAGCAGGAGAGAAAAACCTTCTCGCTTCTGGTCAGCAAAGAAGACAGTTTGGATGCCCCTCGCGGCCTCGCTTCGCCGTTTTGCCGGACCAAGAAGAAGTTTGTGCAGCTCTCTCCACCTTAATATTTCCATGAGCAGTGCGTCAATTTCCAGCAAATGTTTCTACAGGGTCACCTGAAAGTGTGGAGGCGGTAACTTTTCAAATTGTCTTAAAAACTATAAATGCAGGAAAGCTGATATTACAGGTATTACCGGATGTTTCAGAATTATCTGAACAAAACGAAGAAGCAATTTTTCGCCTTGACCGCTGTTTCCTGCCAACCTAATGTATTTCATGTGAACCAGGGTTGAAAGGCCGCTAGGCGGCTTTTCAACCTTTTTATATTTTGTATATATAGTAGGATTTTTGAGGCGGTTTCAATGTTCTGCGCAGAAAAAATGCTTCGAGGACGCATTAATAGCTTGAGAATCAATCGAAGAACGCGTTATGATTTTTCGCCTCTTAAATACCACCAAACCTGGGGCAAAGATTTATAAAGTGTTCCGACATTTTTCTAGGTAAGCAATGACATTTTCTGGAAAAACGGACCTGTTTGCGCCAAGGTTTGGTCATCTCAATGATTATTTTCTAATTTAATATCAACCGGGGTTGAAAAGCCGCTTCGCGACTTTTCAACCCTGGCCCCGTCTGACCCCATTATATCCTAAACCTTTGCATAATTACCCTGCATTATGATGACAAAAATGAAAAACAACCTCTTCTGACCGTTTATATAGTCAAATCGCCGCTTCCGCTCTATGCTAATTATCCATAACAAAGAGGTTTTTACAAAAACCTAAATTTAATAGCGAAAATGGCCAATTTTTAAAAAGCTGATATGTGTGCCGTCATCCTTAGACCATTACGCACCTAATGACGTATCATACGTAGCCTAATACCCGTCCCTTATTGAGATATCCGCCGGACAGACAGACGGAAGTGGATGCAAAGTGGCACACACACACAAACACACACACAGACACTATTTTTTTATATATAGTAGGATATCTTTTACATTGCTGATCAGGGTGTTTCGAAGCTTGCTCGGGCTCAAGCTCCTCAGAAACCAAAGTTAACTTGACCTAAATTGCTTGTACATCGTTGTTACAGTAACAATTTACGTCTTTATCTTTTGACAAGTCATACATATCGGGTTTTTAGGGTTCCTCCGGATCAATTCTTGCGAGGTAAATACGGCGGCGCGTGACTTTGCTTCATCCTTTTTGCTGCTAATTTTTTCCTACAGTTTCCTACATTTTTGGGTCGGGCGGAGCATTGACTGATCATCTTCGACCTCTTCCGGGCATTTATTCCTTGATCCTCCCACATTGAAGCCTTTTATAACGTGGGGAAAAATAAGCTTTACTAGGGAAGTCCAAGATACCCGCAACATGAATCGGGCTGAAAATTTGCACAGTTATAGAACCGACCATGCTGATCATCGCCTCGTTTCCCGAATTTGCTACCGAGCTTAAATAATTAAGATATTAAACTTTTAAAATGGGCCAAAAACCCGCTACCCTGACCCTGGCTCACTAGAGCGGGTGGGGTTCAAGAGGCGAGTATCATCAAGATTCGGGAAACGAGGCGATGATCAGCATGGCTGGTTCTATAACTGTGCAAATTTCTTTAGCCCGATTCGTGTTGCGGGTATCTTGGACTTCCCTAGTTAGAGTGTTTGCAAGAGGCGAGAAATTTCTTTTGAACTTTTCAATTGATCACGAAGAGATATGTTGGATCCACGCCAAATCCCGCTAATCCTAAAGGTTCTATAGGATTTTGCGACCCCAAAATTAAATTTTTAATTAAAATGTGGGTAGTTTTTATACTCAGGGATAGGTTAAAACCATTTATAAAAAATTTAGGCTTGTGCCGAAAAAATTTGGTTCCTGGTTTTTCTTTAGTTAGTTCTTCCTGGTCTAAAGTGAGTTTTCGTATCTCGGCCGTCGGTGAGCTTACGGAGCTGGCAAAGATACCAGGCGCTAGCCCTTGATCTGTAGAGTTCGACCACAGTACGTATCTTCATTGCGTCGTCATTGTGCGTTCTTGCTGCTTGCAAGAGTCGAAAAATCAGGTTTGTCTTTTTGCTATTCATTACAAAAATTGTGGTTACTTCTGCCCGATTTTTCTAAGAATTTATCTTAATAGCACCTGAAATAACATGAAAAATTCCACTACATGTCCGGTATTCATAAAAAACCAGCAGAAAAATAGGTTGAAAAATGGGTCCGGATAACTCTGCGACACTCTGCAGAAGACGCGCTGGTGCTTCCAGGTTAACGGGTGGGTTATTTCAAGGGGGGGAGTGCCAACCTTTCTTTATTTAGACTAAACCAGGGCCGTCCAAGCCCCCATGATATTCTCAATTTGCATAATTCGAGCCGCCGCCCCGAGTAAAAAATGAAGCGCCCGCACTCCACTCACTCTCGCCACTTCCGGTGTATGCTAATTGATACCTAACAAAGAGATCTGAGCGAGATTTCAGAATAACCTACTTTAATATCGAAAACAACTGATTGAACATAAGGGGTTAGCGGCCGTAGCTCCCGCCCCCCCCAAACGACTCTTTTGGGGTCCTTTTCCGGATTTAAAACAGAACAAATCATATGATCGCCAAACTGAATACTCCATCGAAACCGGCGGCACTTTTTGCATACCGTAAGCTTTTAAAAATTGAAAAAAACGGAGATTTCGAATTTTAACAGCCGATTTATTGTCTGGGTTTGTTTGTCTGCACGGAAACCAATGTAGCTGTCAACAAGTGCCTTCCCATGGTCCGTTTGGGCTGAAATTTTCCACATATATCGACTTGATGTAAATGAAGGTGAGGATTAAAGCGTTTTTTTCAAAATAGGCTTTAAAAAAATTTATATTTAATTTTTAAGTTTAAAATTCAAATTGGTGGCTCTGGAACAAGGGTTTGTGATATCCGTTTGGATTGAAATTTTGCTCAAATATGCATTAACCTAGCTAAGCTAAGTAAAGAAGAAATTGCATCGAAATAATGCTTCTCCTTTGAGATATTTTAACTTTAAACCTTCGCCATACGGGGCGCCACCCTCCTCTTTCTCGGCCCCCAGTCTCCAGTCAGCAGGGCGCGTTAGGCCCCCCATGACAGTCCTCCAGTCTAACGGTTGGCCTAGTGGTTAGCACGCTGTACTGGGGAGTCTTGGCCCCCTGAGCCTGAACCCCAATCTTCCGACATCCTCTTGAATGGCCTGAATGTAATTCTTATGGTTTCAGTGCCATACAAGCGCCGCAGGCAAATTTTTTTTGAAGTGTTGCGAATTCTCGTGGCAACAAAATGTGCTAAATTCCTTTCAAACTTTGAAAAATGCCACAAAATGTGGGGTCAACCAAAAGTTGGTGGCACCTTATTAAAAGCGGTAGATCTAGTTTTTAGCCGTTTCGGCTTGCAAATAATTTCTGTATTATGATCTATTTACATTTTCTTGAAATCAATCTGTATACCCAGGGGCGTACAAGACCCCCCCCCCCCGTCACCATTTTCAAAACATTCAAAAATCGCAGCTATAACAGCGCCACAGGCCGCAAAAAATAAGGCACAAGCGTTAGAAACGCTCAAATTCATGTAAAAACATCACAGAAAACGCGCCGCAGGTGCAAAAATTTATATGACAGTTGACACACTAATGAGAAACAGCGCCGCAGGCAAAAAATTGTTGGTAAAATAGGCTTCATAGGAAGTAAAAACCGTCTTAAAAACAGTAATGGACACAGCGCCGCAGGCAGAAAAATTACAGATTGAAAAAATCATAAGGGTCCCCCCTTATGAACTTTTCGGCCTTCGGCCGATTTTGGGGGGGCAACTTGCCCTGTTGCCGGTCGTACACCCCTGTATGTCTGACCTGTGATCTGGGATGGTACCAAGTTTATTAAGCTTATAAAAAGTCAGCAACTTTTTGTTGTGTCTACATTTTGTGGCATTTTTAAGAGTTTTGTTCGGAAGTAGTCCGTACAAAGTCCTCCCTTAAAAACGTTTTGTTCGGATATTTTGGGACACCCTGTAATGGGTGGCTGAAGTTTTTTATTCTTTAATCGTAATGGAAATCGATAATACGAGTTAAGGAACAAGAAAGCGATAATTAAGTGTCGTTGAATCCACTTATATTTTTCATTCGGCTATATGCATGCAATCTTCGGTGGCAGAATAGCGGATTGCTCCCGATTCAGCAATCTCTCTTGGAACGACTCCGATGGCGGCGATATCTTTCCAGCGCGCTCTTCGCCGTCTGCGTAGAATCTCTTCGATTTCGTCATCGTCTGTCCTGAAATCATCAAATTGCCATCTGGCAATGGGACGGCCAATGTTGCTGATTATAAATACTAAACTAGCTATGCTTTAGGTACCCCATTCCTTCATACGGTCAGTCCGTGCCAAAATGTTGTTCCCACGCGATCACACGTCAAAAACGACTCGCCAGGGAAGCAATAAGCTCCCAATGCTGCGGGTTTTCAGAACAGTATCCTCCCAGCGAGCACTTTCTAACTAAGTGAGTTTTTGATTTCATGGAGGCGGGGCCGGGTTTGATAGACCATTTTTCAAAAAGAGACCCGGCCGACTCGATTAGATTTCGCGGTTATCAAGTTTTAATGCGCGTTAAGCAGCGCGGCAAAAAAAACTGAAAATGACTGTTTCATAATATTATTAAGAACAGCTAAAAAACGCCGCAGGCAGAACAGCCTTACTGTAAAGTGTTTTTACTCAACTTGGAGTTTCGATGCGGGACCAAGCGCATCTTGTGCAAAATTTTGCGCTGATTTCGAATCCATTTTCCAAGTTTGCTACCGACATTTACTTTGAAAGTTATAAGGCAATTATGGTAGAGTTTTCACCAAAATCAAGGTACCGTTATCGCTTTCGAATGTCTTGATCAATTTCAACGTCAAAATTGGATAGACATTGACTAGACAAGCTTACAAAAGGTCAAAACAAGTATTTTAGATAAAAAAATTAGATTTGTTATGCAAAAAGCAAAGGTTTTGGCAGGGCGGGGGATCGAACCGCCGCCCTGCGCTTGGCAAGCGAGTACTTTGCCAATGCACCATGGTGCCAACCGGGAAGGGTGCTGTCAGAGGGTACTTCAGGGCCCCTGGCAACTATAGCCCCAAACAAGGAATAGTGGGCCAGCGTCTGAATTTTTGGCATTTTTCGGCCTAATTGTTACCAAAAATGATTTTTTAAATAACGGTCCGTAGCAAATTTGGAAAACATATTCGGAATCAGCGAAAAATTCTGTACAAGATGCACTTGGTCCCGAATCGAAACTCCAAGTTGAGTAAAAACACTTTACAGTTAGGAGGAAAAGCTCATATGAGTCCCGCGTTATGAATTTTTTGGGGTCCGGCCAATAGCGTGAGAAAGGCGCAATGCAGGAACCGCGAGCGGCGTTCGATAAGAAATTACGGGGGATTATAATCCATAATCATCATTTACCCCTCCCTTTAACCGACCTCTCAACCGTCATCAACACGAAAACGCAGAAGCCGGCGCTAAACATGCAGATCATGAGGAGAACCAGCTTTTCAAGATCCAAGCCGAGTAGCCAATACCAGATATGGGCAAGCCAGACCGCCTGCTGTGGTAACATACCTAAAATCTGAAACTGTTTTGATTTGTTAAAAGGAAGGGACGGCAGAAAAAAAGAACCAGGGTTGCGGGCAAGACAGTGTGAGGCAGTTTAGCCTGCCCCCAACCCCAGCCGAATTCCTCCTAATTTTTCTCGGCTCCTCATTGTTTTGAAAGGCTGTGGAGCACACCAAAATGCTCGCTAGAGCAAGACGAACACTTTGGTGTTGTTTACACACCTATGTCATGGGGAGAATAGATACAAAACTGGAGGACAGGCTGTGGGCGCGGGGGGTGGTAAAATGTACACTCCTGTTCTCTCTTCGATGTTAAAAAAGTCCGATCGATCACTATGACTCGAATTTAAAAAAACGATAACCGAGCGAAAAACCTTCTGTTCGGAATGAACCTGTCTAGAAAATGCTACGGGTCATCCCAGGTTATGTCTAGAGTTGTTATTTGGCGTCCGGGTCCGGGTACCCGGTTGCGAACGGGTAGTTGGTGCGAGCGGGTCCAACCGGGTACCAGGTCGAGCGGGTAATTGGCCGAGCGGGTCCGAACGGGCACCCGGTTCAAACGGGTAATGGATCGAGCGGGTCCGAGCGGGTAATTGGCCGGGTAATAAGGGTTTTACATGGGACCCGATCGACCGGGTACCCGCTCGGACCCGCTCGACCGGGTAATTGGTCGACCGGGTCCGCAAGCGGGTACCCGGACCCGGACGCCAGATAACAACTCTAGTTATGTCCCTGTCGTACAACTTTACGGCCAGATGGCTTTCGGGCGCGTGGTTTTTCGGAAAGGGGGTTTTTCGGCCAAGTGATCCTCGGACAGACATTTGGCAATGCGCAGGGTCGACCTAGGCCCTTGATTTAAATGCTAACGGTTCCCGCCAATATCATTGTCGTGCAATGGCAGCTGGCGGGCTACAAGCCAGGATTGCCTGACCTTCCGTGTACGCTGTTCTCTCTATCCCTCACCCTCCCTCTCTCTCTATTTCTCTCTCTCTCTCTCTCTCTGTCTGTCTCTCCATCACTGTCCCTCTCTCCCTTTCACGCGATTCCTACTTTCCATGAGAATTATTCTTGATGGCTTTGCTAAGGTCAGAGCTTAGATTACAGTCGATCCTATAAAAATGACGTACATGGGTGCAAAAGCAGAATAGCGAATCTGTTAGCAAAACAAAAATGCCTTGGACCGAACCCGAGTGTTCGGAATTTGGTGACGCAAATGAGGGCTCGTAGGCTGGTGAGAAGACCGACGTACAGTAGACCGAAATACGTGTGCGCGATGTTTTTCCTATCTTGTAAGCGAGAAAAAGTATGTTTGTTGTCTGTCCAGCCTTTTTCTTGGTGGCCAGGATGAATTTCCGGTTGCATTTTGGCATCGACGGGTAGAAAGAGATTCGTCAAAAACCGTTTTTTGTATGTTTCGAAAATTCTTTGGTTTACAGGCGGTAGGTTTCCCGCGATGAGATTCGCTGGTTCGGATTTTCGGCGAAGTCATGTATTTGCTTTTTGGTAATTCAGCAACAAAACATATTGCTAGGCTGTCCGTGAGCGTCATTTAGAGGCCACAGGAAAGCCGCCGAGCGGTAGCTAGCGCCGCTGTCAAAGATTCTCCCTTATTGTTCGCCCAGGCTCGGGGGCCGCAGGCCAAGGAATGGGTCCTTGACTCACATTCTTGCGCCCCAGGGTTCGAGAAAAGAAGGATTTAAACCCATGGCTGCGAGACGAGGTCCATGGAAAAGGGCCGCGCAGCGGTACTTATCTAATTTAACATGATGGAGTTATCTTGTTAATTCAACATTTTACGGAATTTTGCGGCTGATAGAGAATTTCTTCTGATTAGGATGGCATATTCCATGATTGTGTGAAGGTCATATCATAGGCGCTATCTTACAAGTGTTTGGAAGGAGCTGTTTTTATCATTGCGAAAGTAAGATTGGGGTGGTCGTAGAATGTTAGGTATAAATTGGATACCCATCCCCTTCAGACATGAAAAGCTTAAATGCCCAAGTCCCCCTCCTACGCAATACTTTCGAAAATTTTCTTGGGGTGCATTGTGCATGCACTACAACGCATAACGGCGTCTAACCATGGAGCCATAAATGTTCCGCGAAAAAGACCGTGGTTGCACTGTATCACTAACGGATACCAATCGTGCCATCCTGATCATGTAATAATGAAGAAATATACTTTATAGCGATGAAGATATAACAATTGTTATTTTTTTACGATTTTTGACGCCGTTTGAAGAAAACGTGTAAGTTAGTAATTTTTCGCATCAAAATGTTAAAGATCTCAAGCTAATTTTTTGGCACTATGCCAAAGCAGTGTCAATAATCAATTCGGCTCTAACCTAACCGTATTTTTAACATTCAGTCCTTTTTATGGTCAACTAGGATTCAGAGCTTCGAGCAAAGTGTGGATTTTCCGAAATGTCGTATTGACGCCCAGTGCAACCAATCAAAAATGGCCCTTACCATGCTTTGAATCAAGCAAAAAAGTTTCAATGAGTAGCAAAGTCTTTTCATGTTGTTTTTATTTAATAGTCCAGTATTTCTGGGGAGCCGGCCGCTGCTGAAGCTTCTCTGCCAACTTGCAGGGCTCACAACCTCTAAAAACCTCCAAACCTTAGCCGTCGCCTCTGAAAAACGTCCCAATATCTCAGTCATACTTCCCTCAGTGTTGGAAATATAGGTTGTGATACCTTTTCTATCGGCTTTATTTACCTTGATATTTCTAAGCTGATAAAATCTACTTTTCCGAGCCATTACTCATCCCGACAGCGCATCCCAGTTTTGTTTATTCAGCCGGTGGCGCATCAGGGTGGGACATTTTTGGGTGCCATTGTGCGAGTTATTCACTTTTTCGAAACGCAGAGTATGGAATTTTCATGTATCTTATTTTTCTATATTTTATTACCGGCTATAACGGCGACAAGGCAATGCTGGGCTGACACTTCATATTCAAAAACAAATGTTCACACTGGGAATGTAAGTTTTTGGCAAAAGAAGCGTAGTAAAGGAGACTTAAACTCCATGATAAGTGTATTGAAAACTTCCAAATATCGTAAAAACATATTAAAAAATGTTATGAATAGTTCAACTTTAATTTTTTGAGGTCTGAAGAGGAATTGTAGCCTCACTTATCTTCCTAGGCTTTACCGTTTTGACCAACTTTTGGTACAAAAGCGTAGTAAAAACGGCTTAGAATACAAAAAATATATCTTAAGCTTGAAGATACCATGAAATTGATAAAATTATAGTTTTGTTGTGTAAAATCAGCCGAAAAGCTAGATTTTTCAGAATAGTTGGAATTTTTAGATACAAATAAGATCGGATTTTGGCTTGAAAGCACCTTTAAAAACGTTACTTTACCCAGATTTTAGCAAGCCAAGCTGACATGCGCCGGAGACTTCTGCGCAAAATTTGTCTATCCGGTAAGTTAGTAACCTTTTTGGGCGGAAACCCAAATTGTAGACCGGAACCGAATGGGGATGCCCGGCACCTGGAGTGTGTACGGTAATGGAATTTACAGCTTTACTATTAATTGCATTATTTTTAGAAAGGCGGGAAGCAGAAAGACTATACGGGCCCAATAGACGCCACCGGAAAGCGAGCTACCGGAACGATGTACTGCTGCGACCGGGAGCTTTGTAATTCCGCGGGTTCGTTTGATGCTGTAAAAATCGCCTTGATCAGCCTGGTTTTTGTTTTACTGAATTTTGTTTAATAAATATTGTATAACGCTTGCAATACTAGACAAAAACTACAAAAAAATCAGGCCTGGAAAACAAATTTGCATTTGTATTCGGTAGGAGGCAAAACCACCTTTTAAAAATTTTTTGCGGATTTTGTTGGTAACGTTACGATATACAACTGATGTTTATAATCTTCTATATTAGTTATATTATAAGAAGGCAGCAAAATTGTCCAAAGAAACACCAACAAATTTTGTCACTTCGCAACGCTCCGATAGTCATAACAAAGAAATGGCGCGCTAGTAGCTACTTTTGACGACAATTCCAAGAGCATTGTTGGTAACTGCCAGTTCCAAAATTCTATCTCTATCTAAAAAAATGCTAAAACTCGCTCTATTTATTATTCTGCTACCACAGATTGCCTTTTCCATCAAATGCTGGAGCGATCAAACCTCAGAGCTACAAGAAACGCACACAGCAGCGGTAAATCCAAAGTTTTTCCCCCCAAAATCTAGCGCCATTTAGAAAAAGCTGGTCGACTGTCCATCGATGAGTTTTTGCGGGAAATTGGTCTACGAGGTCTGAAAAAAAGGAAATTTGTAAAGAAAATTTGTATGCGCTCAAGATGCCCGGTCCCAGCCGGGCGCAGCCTGATGTATCTCGGCTACCTTTAACCCTGTAAAGCTGTAGAATATGACAAAATACTCGCGAAACCAAGCCGAATATTCTTGTATACATTACACTCCTGTACGATAAAGGGTAGCCGAGATACAACAGTTGGGGGGGCCGGCTGGGGGTCGTCTTGAGACTTACCGATGATTCTAGGGCGGTGTCGAGTGGGGTTGCATCGAAAAGGAGGCTTATTGTGTGGTAAGTGTCTTGAAACTAGGGTTGAAAATCCGTTTTTAATTTTAAGGTGATCGCTAGAATTATGAGACTGGACGTTACGATTTTTAGGATTCCAAATCACAGCTACTAACGATGTCACATGACGGGCGGGTGACGGACGCCACGCTACATTGTTGCTCTCCGGATTTTTGCAATGGTGTTTCGGCACAAGGCCTCATTTTCAGCGTTTTCACAATCGGGCTATGCTTGTTTGAATAAATTGCATCTCAAGCTCAGGTGCCTTGGCACTAATCTTTGAAGGAGCTCGGAGTCAACAATCGCGTATGCGGGATTGAACCTACCGGTCAAAAAGCGACAGGGTTACTGCCGAGAAGTACCAGAAAAGTTATTTCGTCGCGAAACAGCGTAAAATTTTTGAGAAAAACCGAAAGGTTCTTGGGGCGAAAACCACTTTTTGAGTGCTTGGCGATGTCGCAATGCCCTGTAAGACGCCAATCTCCCGATGTCGGTGATTCTCTGCTCAATTTTTATAATTAAAAAGCTTAGACTTAGAAAAAGCAAGGAGTGGTTTTTGAGTGTCATTGGCAAATCCCTTCGCGACCTAGCTCATTCGATAGAGAATTGAATTCTGAACAACCTCTCGTTGTTCATTTTTGCAAAACGGCTCTCCCTGATTTTATAAAATTAAAAAACTAAAAAATGAATTTTACGTACCCCGTCTGGCGCGGCCAGCCTATTGGAACTCCCCTAGGACATGAGCTCTTTCCGCCTCCCCCTCTCACCACGGGACGTGGCCTAGTGGTTAAGGCTTCCGCCTTCAAAAAATTTTTGCTTCTTTGTGGAAAGTTCGGTTCCTTGGTCAAAAATTTGTTTTGCTTTTTGTTAATAAAAGCGTTTGCAGACGTTTTGATAAGTTAATTGATTTAAAATAATACTTATTACAACGTTGGCTGCTTTGCGCGCTTACAGGAAAATTTACAACAAAAAACAAATTTTATGGTCCAGGTTAGTGTGAGTCCTCTCAATTGGAAGTAAAACCTCTTTAAAAATACTGGGCCCACTTATAATACAAAAAGCAAAACAAATTACATCTACAAGAACCGAACTTGCAAAAGATGGAAAAACAAATTTTGGAAGACAGCCGCGTTAGCCAATGCGCCACGGCTGATGCTGAAGGGGGCCGCGCTGAAGGCCTCTTCCCCTAGAGAGGCCAGCCACGATTTTGATGCGGCGGACCGACCGTTGGACAAAATTCTATTTAAAGTTTTTTTAATTTTATAAAATCAGGGAGAGCCGTTTTGCAAAAATGAACAACGAGAGGTTGTTCAGAGGTATCAGAGAGTTGCTCAGAACCACGAATTTTGCAAAAAAATTTTGGATTTCAGCAGCTTCTATTTGACATCAGCTGTTCGCAAATCCCCAAGAGAGACAAAAGCAAAACTGTCTGAAAATTTGGTCATTAGTCACGCGTTTGTATGTGTGGTTGGATGTAATCCTTTCTCTTTCTTTTCTCTCTCTCTCTCTGCTCTCTCTCTCTCTCTCTACCGCTCTGTCCCGTTTTAGTTAGTTTGGTTTTCCTCAATTTTTCTTTGCAACGAAGATTTCTGTGGGTACGTCGTTGACGTCTTTCTTCTCATCGACTCATCCTGAAAAAGTCGATTTTGTACTTTATGCGGTAGTTATGCTTAAAACCCCCATAAACGTGCAATTTACGGTAATCAAGGACCGGGGTGTAAGTCTGCCACCAAGCAGTTGAAGAGATATTGCTGAACGTAAGGGCTGCACTACTTTACTTCCGCCCTCCCCCTAGCCGCAATTTTTTCGCCATAACTTTTTTATTTTGCATTATTTAAGGCTCAACTTAAAACCCTTAGTATATTTTTCGTGGAGGTAAAGTAAAGTCTTACCCTCTTAGGAAAACACATTATTTCCAAGGCATTGCAGCTTAAATTTGAGGAATGTAAAGGCGAGGGTAACCGGCTTTTAGTAAGCAACAAAATATACAGTAGAGTCCAAATAATAATTAGAGCCAACATGTAGGCGTAACGCGAAACTAGAGAAGTTCCCCCCGGCCAGAACTACGAAAAATGAGACAAACCGAGGTTCACGTTGAGATGGAATAACCGTTGAAATGACTGCCCAAATTCGTTCCCGCCATCACTTTCCAAATAAAATGAAGCCCCATCGAGAATAGGCGTAAAAATTGAGGTGCACCCTTCGCGCCAAGCCCAGCAAGTGATAAGCCGAGACCCCCCTCCAAAACCTTCGATTTTCCTCTCCTTTCCCGGGCGCACAAAAATGTATAAATCGCTACTGATCTTTTACACATTCTTATCAATCGGTTACGCGGTGAAATGCTACCAAGAGGTGCTGTATACCAAGACGAAATCGCATAGTGGGGATGTAAGTCTCGAAAAGGTTCGAAAATACCTTATCATTATTCTTTAAGGAGCACAAGATTGAATGTATGACCGATTTTTGTGCAAAGAGCATATTGGCGGTAGGTGTTTAAGTACTTCATTATACTTCTGGCTTCAAAAAAGCTTAATTTGCCTTAATAAAAAAGTTCGTCTTTTTCAAGTGAAAAAGCTGAAATTTTAAAACCTGCTAAGATTTATTTTGTCTTTTTAATTTGTATTCCAAAATGGTTGATTGGATCTTTTTAGATAAGTCTGAATTCGAAACTTTGGCGCATTCAATATAGCGATTTTTTAGAACAGCATGGAAAATATTGCGGCCTGGGATTGTGGTAATATGCTAATGTGTACCGTAAGTAGTATAACAGCGTAGTCGACGCTAAAATATGACGTTTTGGATCGCCGGCGAGTTCCAAATCCAGGGCGACTTCTTCGGCCGCAACTTGAAGGGCCAAGGCTGGTGCTGCAAGGGCGATTTTTGTAATTCAACTGTCCGGAATTATTCCGTATTTATTACTGTTGTTATTGGGTTTATTTTACATTGGATTTAATAAAATTTTCTACTTTCAATGCTTTAAAACACATGCAAATTACCTTAATTTAGAAAGCAAATGTTATTCTATGAAAAAATGAAAAAATATGTCCGTTCGGGTCTGGTTCCGAATAGATTCTCTTCGGATTTTTATCCCATTTTTACTTTAATTAAAATCGACTGTATTTTTATTTGCAAGAAAAACCTGCCGCTTTCTTCCTATTTATGAGCCGTTTTCTCAGCACGTTTTCGATTTGAGTGTTCGTATTGTGCTGAATTTTGCAAGTTGCATCTGTAATAGCCTTCCACAAAATTTGCATAGACACGTAGAATTAGAAACTATAAATGGCAACCCTTCACTTGCTGCCTAACCACCGCCCCGATGGCCGGCTCTCAATTCTGGCTGCTATTCCGCAAAGACCTGCGGTTGATGTGGAGGAACAAGGTACGCTTCGACCGATCGCTACGTTACGCACCAAATTCCACAGCTATGGACGGTGTTCGAGATCGTGATCCCGCTACTCCTCGCCGCGCCCCTCGTCTTCACGTATCTGTCCGCGGAGGATAAGGTGTGGCTTGTCTGTCCCTTTAAAGGACATCGATTTTGAGCTGACGCCTGTCGATTATCCGGCCAGTCCTGGGAAGTCCTGGCAACTCGACGGGATGAATCTGACTTGTGACGACGTCATCTATACGTAAATTTTTTTAATGGGATAGAAATGGTGGTGCTGCGATTCCGGTGCGTTGGGCTAGAGTTTCTGGCGCCCGCTGCGCTGCCGCGACGCTTTCATCAAGAAGCCTGGAAATTTAGTGGCCAAAAAGGGGTCGATAACGCGACGATGAGCCAGGTGATGACAGCGCTGCTCACTCGACTTGGGAAGAATAAAACGGCAACGTATGCAGTGGATTTAAAGGTATGGGATAACCGAGATTACTTCTTCTTTATATCCTTCGCTCGCTCTTCTCACTTCTCTCTCTCTCTCTCTCTCTCTCTCTCTCTCTTACTTTCGTGCGCTCTACCTATCATTCTCTCACCTTCTCGCGACCACTCTCTCTCCCTCTCTCTCGCAGTCTTTTTTTTCAGACACTCGAAACAGCTCTGGCCAGCAACGAAACCGTAGCCGAGACCACGTGCAGAGTGTAAGTAGTGTAGCCCCTTTCCAGCTCTCATACTTTTCAGTGGCGTCGAATTCAAAAAGCTCGACCCGAAAAATGGCCATATCGACTACACGATCTGGTTTCCGAAACCCACGGATGCGAAGTGGTCTCGCAAAGAGAAATGGGAGCCCACGGTAGGCTCGACCTGATTTTTGGATGCTTTGCCAGCTCGACAAGGCTCCACCGCCCAAGTATCAGCTGACCGGGGCCCTCGGGCTACAATATGCCATTGATCAGGCTTTTATTGAGGTGAGAGATGCTCGGATTCTCACCTTTCGGTATTAGGCGATTGAGTCGGAGTCGGAGACAAATAGAACCAAACGTCATCTGCCGCTTATTGTACAAGAGTTTCCGACGGCCGCTTATACTGTGGACACGATCCGAGACGTGGGTTTTTGGGCTTTCAGGGACGGCAAGTTACGCGAATCGCAACGCACACGCTGGTGAGAGCAGAATTTGCCATTCTCAGTCACTGACCGCCTACCCCATCATCATGGCGCTGTTGATCTTCCCCAACGTCGTCAACCTGGCCCGGGCCATCGCTTCGGAGGGAGAAGCCGGCTTGAAGGTGGGTGCTGGCTTCAGTGTACCTTTAAAGCGACGTAGAGGGAATGTCTATGAATTTTTAGCTATGGACTTCAAATGAGTAAGGCCGCGGTTTCTGGGCTGTTAGCGGGGGGGAGGTTAGCTGGTTTGTTTAGCAGCACAACCACTTTTTGTTTTTCCACTTAAACCTGCTTTTTGAGGATATCTCGCGTATTTTATAGGGGTTTTAATAGTTTTTGATTACTAGAAGGTTAATTTTTATTATTTTTTTGTATTGTTTTTCTATCTAGAACCATGCAAAATGCTATAAAAATGATTTAGGTTAGAGTGGAGTTTACCCCCCAGCCGGCACCCAACTTTTGTGTGTCGGCTCCCTGTTTATCTACAGGTGTGTAAAATATACCAAAATGTTCGTCTTGCTCTCGCGAGTATTTTGGTAGACTTTACACACCTGTAGATGAACAGGGAGCCCAGATACGTTAGGCGGGGGTCGGCTGGGGAGGAAACTGCAAAAAGCCATGATTTATTGTATTTTTTTATTGGACCGTAGAAAATCATAGCGAAAAAAATGGTTTTTCCTGCCACTTGCCGCCCCCTTTAAAATCACGTTCATAACGTCAATGCTCCTTTTTCCTCTCAGGAATACATGGAGGTGATGGGGCTGAGCGTGACCCAATTCTACTCGGCTCACTGCTTGATGGGGTGGCTGAAGGCGTTGCCGATCTACGTCGTCTTGTGCTTCCCGATTATTCATCATTTGAAGGTAAGAAGCAGATGATATACGCGCACCCGAATGTACTTCTTGCAGATGGTGCCCGCAATCCTGGTCATCCTCACCATCTTTGTCTACTCCTGGGCGGCGCTTTCTTTTGCGCTGATGTGTTCGTCCATGTTGAAGACGTCGTCGGGTGTTTTTAGAGGTGGGTTAGGCGTAGGCTGAGGCATAGGTTTAGGCTTGGGCTTCGCTGAGGCTCAGACTAGGCTTAGGCTTAGCTTTGTGCCTAAGCCGTCGTCTTGTCTTAGCTATTTTTTGAAGCTGCCTTTCAGGAACGATGCTCCTCTGGGCCGTCTCCTTCATGATCCCCAGCTTCACCGACGTCGAGCTCGACAGACCGTTCAAGACGTACATCTACTCCCTCAACCTCAACCACGCCCTACTTGCCGCCGTCAGCGTCATGGTTGGATATGATCAACGAGGTTCGGTGAACGTATGCAAAAAACTTTGTTCTTCCCCCAGGCAAACACCTCGGCTTCGGCGAGCTGTTCGAGCGCGGCAGCGCCAACTTCAACCTGGCCAGCGCGCTGATAATGCTCATTGTAGGTTGGCTTCTGACTTTAAAGGGCCTGGCAAGTCAACCATAAGCTTCGTATTTTTAGATTGATTGTGTTTGGATGCACTTGTACGCGTGGACGGTGGACCAGAGCCGAAAAGCCGAGGGCACCAAGTGGTTCAAGGAATGGATGAAAGAGATGAGGGTAGTATTACCGTCAAAGTTCCATAAAAATCGGTAGGGCCACTACCACCTCGAGGGCGAGCAGGTCAAGCCGGAGGTGAGGAAGGGCCTTGTCGATGAAGTTGACCAAGTTCGGTCCTCGAAAGTGGCCGATATTGAGGTGGAGTCGTTGACAAAGGTGAGTATCAAACGTTTTAAAGGGACTGGGAAGCCATGTAGGGAAGGACGCGGATACGCCACGCACAGCCTTTTAGCTGCGGTGCGTGTCGCGGCATCGTTCCTAAATTCCGGACCTATACGACCCTTTTTTCAGAAATACGGGCTCACCGGCGGCTACGGGCTCATTGACATGAATTTGCGAGCCACGAGAGGACAGGTACGACATTTTGAAGAAGTAGTAACTTTGAACGACTCAGGTTACTGTACTGCTTGGGCACAACGGTGCCGGCAAGAGCACAGCGTTCAACGTCATTTGCGGCAAGACGAAGCCAACGTTTGGTGAGTTGAAAAATAGAAAAGAATGATTGAGAAAAATCAAAAAGTTACCGAAATCTGTTTGGCCGGGTGGCTAAGTTGTCGCTTATCACGCGTAGGGTCCGGGTTCGGCTCCCGCCAGTGGCAAAATTTTTGCCTTTTGAACGAAACAATCGATTTCGATTCTTTTAAGGTACCGTCCACGTCGAGGGCCCCATTGGCCTGTGCCCTCAGACAAACCCGCTCTTCGCGAAGCTGTCCGCCCTCGAGCACCTCTGGTTCTTCCACCACCTCAAGGGCTCATCGGGAGACTGGGAGGATGAGGCCGAGAGGCTGATGCACGACCTCGACTTTTACGACGCCAAGGATGAGGTGGTGTGGAAATAATTCCTCCCCCGTTAAGAGGCCAGCACCCGAAAATTCAATCCGTGACGTTACGTTATTCCAGCTCGCCCAAAACCTGTCCGGTGGTACAAAACGGAAACTGTGCGTGGCGATGGCCGTCATTGGGGATCCGAACGTAGCTTACAGGAATTTACAAACAGTTTATTTTTTTAGGTGATACTTCTGGATGAGCCGACAGCAGGGATGGATCCTGGAGCGAGGATTGCCGTGGAGAAATTGTTGCAACGAGTGAAGAAAGATCGGTATCAACTTTTCAAGTTGTCCGGCTTGCCCAGGTCGTGAAAATCGAAACTTCTCCTCTTTTCCAGCACCATCCTCCTGACGACCCACTTCATGGACGAGGCGGAGAAGGTCGGCGACTGGGTGACGATCATCCAGAGCGGCCGCAACATCCTCAACGGCTCCCCGGAGTACCTGAAGAAGAAATACGGTACCGGCTACATTCTGACGGTCGTCGGAAGTCCGGTGGTGGCCGGCGTGATTCAGGATACGACGGCTCGAGTGGATTACCAGGCGGTGGGACTCCAGCTCTCTTTGTTGTACATCTACTGGCTTCAACATTCCAGCTCGAGAAGTTTGGCCAAAATATCGCTGAGGTGTGCCACAAGATTTGCGGCGGTGATATCGCTGACTATCCGGTTGGCGTGGCTCGAGGTCGCCAAATTGATGTGACGATCCCCGTGGAGCACAAGACAAAGTTCCCGGTGTTGATGAACCTGTAGGAAATCTCTCTCTCTCTCTCTCTCTCTCTCTCTCTCTCTCTCTCTCTCTCTCTCTTTTTCACTCTCTCTCGCTCTCTCTCTCTCATCCTTAGCTCTGATTTTAGCCTGGAAAACATGATGCAAAAACAACCCGATCCCAACCTCCCGGTAGCCCTCCTCGACTTTGGCCTGTCGATGAACACGCTGGAGCAGGTGTTTTTGAAGGTAACCGCCTGGCTGAACGTCTTGAAAATCTCTTGCGGTACTCCAGGTGACTGATGGCAACTCGACCGACAGATCTTCCGGTGTGGCCGCCATGACGGAGAGCTGGGTATGAGCAGTAGATGTTCGACATATTTTGGAACCTTAGGTAAAAGCCCGAAAACTCGACGGATCCGCGCTACATTGGGCCCAATTCCTGGCGATGCTCCGGAAGCGCTTCCTGCACAACTACCGCAATTGGGGGCTGCTTTTGGCGCAGGTCTTGTTGTCTTCTTGATTGTGAACTCCTTGGACACCTGCAGCTCGTCCTCCCCACCCTATGCCTGCTTCTCTGCTTGAGAAACGTGAAGGAGGCAGCGGTGCCGCGCGAAATGACCGTAAGCTTGGATTAGCTACCTCTCAACAACCTGACCTTCTAGGACGTCTACATCCCCTACGACTTCTCCGACATGCTGTACCCGGCCCGGGTCATCCTCCAAGACACCGCCCGCGGCGGCTCCCCCGGCTCGAGCTTCTACAACGAAAAATTTAAGACCATGGAGACCGAGTTCATCTCCGTCGCCGCGCACGACAGCTTTGATACAGCCGTTCTGAAGGTGTTCAAGGATTTTGGAATAGAATTCCGGAAATTCAGGCTTCCCTCGACGCCCCGCCCCTTGGAATGGGCATACGGCTAGACGGTGGGAACACGACAGCCTACTACAACCGGCTGAGCCACCACGGGGCGCCCATCGTCGTCAAGCTGGTCGACCAGTTTCGGTTGCACGATGCGTTGTACGTGTTGAATTTGCCGGCTTCTACCGAGTTTTACGCATTGACTATCCGGAATACCCACTTTCAGTGACGGCAAGAAGAAGACGAGCCTGGAAGCCGGGATCCGCGTCTACAAACGGAAGGACGGAGTCGATGCGTTTCTGGAGGAGCTGTCCAGCGCGGTGAGAACGAGTTAAGGGGACGGGAACGGTGTGGGTATGAGTATGGATTCTGCCGCGCCGATCCAAGTTCCCTGCTTCAGTTCGGCCCAATGATGATCATCCTCTGCCAACTGACCGCCCTGGCAACGTGCACCTCGGCGTGCGCAGCTTTCCTCGTCGAGGAGCGCGTCTCCCATTTCCGCCATCAGGCAAGTCTCTTCTTTTTCAACCCCCCAAATCCCCGTCTTCAGCAACTACTCGGGCGGCTGAGCCCCGTCGTGTTGTGGGGCGCGTCGTTGCTGTACGACTTGTGCGTCTACCTACTTCTCTTCCCGATCGCGGCGCTGATCTTTGGCTACGGCGGCGTGTACCGCTGGGGACAGATACCATAGTGGGTTCCTATCGGTATAAGGAGACGTTTTTTCAGCGTGCTCGCCTACTGGCTGCTCTACTTTTGGGCGTGCATCCCATTCGTCTACTGCGTCTCGTTCATGTTCAACTCGGAGACGAAGGCGGCGTTGATGTTGGCTTGTTGGCAGGTTTGTGGCGTTTGAGTTGCGTCCGCGTTGCGTCCGCGTTGCGTTCGCGCTGTCTGTCGCGTTGCGTCTAGCGTTGTCTGTCGCGTTGCTTTTTAAAGCTTAAAAGCCAAAAATTTACACCAACCCCCTCAGATCATCGCCCCGGTCATCGCCATCCTGATCGTGATGGCGGCCTCCTCGCTCTTCAACCCTGGCGAAACGGGACTGAGCGTGTCTAAGGTATGGCGCCAATAAAATTGAACGTATCCGCTTCCACTAGTGGTTCTTGTCCTTTTTCTTCCCGCCGATCGGCCTGATGACCGGTGTTGACGCGACGTTGGGACCGGTGGCGACCCCGTGGTGAGTGGCGTCAACTTCAAGAAGGACATCTTGATCCCATCTTTGAACCTGCTGAAATCGATTTTTCTAGGAGCCAAATCATTGCGATGCTCGCCTCGGGCGCCTTGTCGACGTTCGCCTTCATCTGTCTCGTCTCGGCCCCGATCCGCCGGAAGATCTTCGACGCTGCCCAGCAGATGTGCTTCTCGCGCTCGAGCTGGGTCTCGGTGCCGGACAGTGATGAGGACGTCAGCAGCGAGCGGAACTACGTGGACGCGAACCTGAGGCAGGATTGGCCTCTTTTGGTGAGTGGGGAACGAGCGCTTCGCGTCTCGGGGGTCGGGCCGATCCAAATCGAAAGCGCACGCTGCCGCTTCCAGGTCTCCAACCTCGTCAAAACCTACGGCTGCAAGCCCGAACCGGCCGTGAAGGAGCTTAGCTTTGGCATCGAGACGGGCCAGTGTTTCGGGTTGCTAGGTGGGATTACGACTTAACGAGCCCTTTCACCTGCCTGTCACCAAATTCAGGAACCAACGGTGCCGGCAAGACGACGACGATCGACATCCTGACGGGCCGTCTCTTCCCCTCGGACGGGCAGATCAGCATCTACGGTGAAGAGGGGACGGGATGGAGGGTGGGTGTTAATGTGGTCATACAAAAAAGTCAAATTTTCCAGCCGATTGGCTACTGTCCACAGTTCGATGCCGTACTCCTCGATCTAACAGGCCGGGAAACTTTGGAGATTATGGCGGCTTGCCATGGGTACTCGGATCCGAAACGGATTGCTTCGGAGGTTGTTCCAAAAGGATCTTTGCTAAATGGCCCCAAACTCCAGATGCTCGTCGCCGTCGGGATGGCAAAAGATGCGAATCGCCGTCTTCGCCAGTACAGCGGCGGCCAGAAGCGGAAGATCAGCATCGGCATCGCCCTCCTCGCCCAGAATACGATTCGAATTTTGGATGAGCCGACAGCTGGATTGGACCCGAGGGTCGGAAATTTGCCACAATTTTGAATGAAGCTTCTGCAGGCCCGCCGCGAGATCTGGTCGTACCTCGACTTGGCCCGTCACCGTGGAGCTGGTGGCCGTACCGCCCAGCTGTTGACGTCGCACTCGATGGATGAGTGCGAAGCCTTGTGCTCCAAGATTTCGATATTGACGAAGGGACGCATGATTGCTATTGGGACGAGTCAGCACTTGAAGTCGAAGTGGGTCTGAGTCCGTGCTCTAGAACGGTTTGCCGACGTTGACCAGCATTTTTCCATACCCTGAATGGAATTCCCAGCAAAAACGCCGACAACTCCGCCCTTTAGGTACAGCGGCGGCTACAAGTTGACCCTGGTCCTGCGTGGCGGCGACGTCGGCGAGCTGACGGCCGATCAACTGGAAGAGCGCACGAAGCAGCGCATCGAGAATGTCTGCCGCGCCGTGACGGACACCTTCCCCGAGGCCAAAATCCATGAGATTGGCCACTCGCTGACCGGCGTCTGGGTGGTATGTGTATTCCAGGAGCACGGTAGCTTTTCCGTACTTTAGGTCCCCGCGACGAACCTGCCGTGGTCAAACATCTGGGCCGACGTGTTGGCGTTGGTCCAGGAGGGCCGCGGGCTTGGTGCGTAGGCAGAGGCTTAGGCCTAGATTAAGCTTTGCTCAGGCTTAGCTTAGGCTTCACTTAGGCTTAAGAGTAGGCATAGGCTCCGGCTCAGGCTTGACGGAGGGTGAGGCTTCGTTTAGGCTTCGTTTGGGCTTCGCTTAGGCTTAGGATTAGAGGCTCATGCTTCAAATCGGCTTAGGCTTCGCTTAGGCTTAGGTTTGACTTAGGCTCATGCTCAGGATTAAGCTCAGTCTTCACCTGGTTAGCTTACAATCCCTGAATTCCAGGAATTGCCGACTACAGCGTGACCCAGTGCGGCCTCGAGGACACGTTCATGAAGGTCGTCAACGGGGAGATGGCCTCGGAGCGACCACCATCCTCCAGCCGGCGCACCTCCATGAAATCCCGCCCCAATGCCACCTCAACCACCACCAACAACACGATGGACACGCAAAAGTCGGAGAAGTCTAACTCGAAGTCGTCGACCAAGTCCACCAAGTCGACGAAGCCCCTCCGCCGCACCTCATCGACCCAGCAGCAAACCGCCTCCACCCAGTACTCGACCGCCCCCCGCTCGTCGGCCCTTCGCAAATAGTGTCCCTGTCCCTTTAAAGAATGTGAATTTCTCTGTCCCCTAAATGTCCATGCTCGCCTACTGAATACTCGCCCCTACGTCGGCCTCCAACCTCCGCTTGTGCTTTTTCATGGAATAAAAAATCAACTGGAACCCATGTATTCTAAGTTTTCTATATTTACTATTTTTATAGAGACGTGGAAATTAGCGCATGACATGCAAAATACAACAAATGCGAAAATGCCGACGTCGCTTTGGATTTCGAAAAATTCGATTGCGATAAAACCCGACAGCGATAGCCAAAATTTGGACAACAAAATCCAATTCTGCAAAATATGGAGTCTCTAAATGGAAAAGACATTTAAACTAGCGTCGAAAATTTGTCGGTGTGTTGGCTGGCAATCAAAATTGTGGCCAACGTTCTAGTTTTCGACAATAATGAAAATCAGCATTTCGCATTCCACAAAATAGCTAAACCTTGTTCTCGATCGCAAAAATTTTTTTGAAGAATGCAAAATGACGATTTATTAAACTCTAACGACAGTAAGCCGAATGCCCGTAGCACATCCCTTCGGTGAAGCCGTGCACCCGGCAGCAAGTGTTCACCGCTCCGCCGGTCTGCAAAAAAACCGCAAATAAATTACATGGACCGCCCTTTCAAGAAGATAGATGCCTTTTGTGCTTGTTTCGATGGATCAAACGTACCTTGCATGGATTGTCGCAGATCTGGTATCGATCAGCTTCGACTTGGACTGAAAAGGCAAGGTTTTTCGAATGCAGTCTGCGAAAAAGAGTTATTGAATTCGTGAAATACCGGAGAATCAGAGGTCGCTGCAATAACAATAAAAATTTCGTATTTTTGCCTTCCTTGTACTTTTAGAACAGGAAATTGATTTTTTTTTTCAGGTAAGATTATGTAATTTGGAAGAGAAGCTGAAATCAGACATACCAGCAATGAACGCGATGACGAGGAGCAAGACGATAAGGAATTTCATGATTTCTCAGTCAGATTTGCTGCTATCTAGCCCAGTTTCCGGGCTTATATACCGGTAAAACCCGAGCGATCCTGTCGAGGTTGAACCCGTTTTGCCCAAAACGCCTAAAAAGCGAGCAAAAGATCCGTGGACCACATTTTTCAAGTGGTCCCTCCGCGCTGCAGGAGCTGATCTCACTGTCATTTATGACCTTGAAGAGAGAAAGGTATTGAAATGATACCAACAGTCGTGCGTATTTTTATCTACTATATATCTACTATATATAAATTTCTAATGTCCGTACGCCCGTCCGACCGACCGACCGACCGGGAATTCAACGTGCCCTCAGGGCATGCCCGGGGAGAAGGGGAGGGGCCAGAGGTCACAGGGGCCGTTCGCGCATTAATGGTTGCACAAACCCCAAACAAAAGAATAATTGTTTCGCAACGGTTTTTATTGTTTTTTTAGTATCGAAGAAGGGAAATAACTTTCTTTCAAGGGTATTCTAGCCATTACGCGTTTCTTAGATGTTTTTTTAGTATCGAAGAAGGGAAATAACTTTCTTTTCAAGGTTATTCTAGCCATTACGCGTTTCTTAGATGTTTTTTTAGTATCGAAGAAGGGAAATAACTTTCTTTTCAAGGGTATTCTAGCCATTACGCGTTTCTTAGATGTTTTTTAGTATCGAAGAAGGGAAATAACTTTCTTTTCAAGGTTATTCTAGCCATTACGCGTTTCTTAGATGTTTTTTTAGTATCGAAGAAGGGAAATAACTTTCTTTTCAAGGTTATTCTAGCCATTACGCGTTTCTTAGATGTTTTTTTAGTATCGAAGAAGGGAAATAACTTTCTTTCAAGGGTAGTCTAGCCGTTCCACGAATCTTAGATGTTTTTTTTAGTTGGAAGAAGGGATACAACTTTGTTTAACAGAGAATTCTGGCCATTCGGCAATTCTTAGATGTTTTTTAGTATCAATGAAGGGATCTAACGTTATTTCAAAGGGTATTCTAGCCATTACAAGTTTCTTCTATGTTTTTTTATTCTTAAAGAAGGTTATAGCTTTGCTTCTAGGGGGTGCGTTAACCATTAGACTTCCCTTCTCTTTTTGTTTAGGATCAGCTACGGATGTTGGGGGGTTTTCTTTCAGGGGAATAGGAGGAGTGGAAGGTTCTTTGGTTTTGGAGGAGGTGCATAGGTAGATCACGGAAGTTATCCGCTCCAAGCGGGAAATATACTAAAGAGAATGGGAAGCACCCTATATTGCCTTGCCCCCCGGGAGGGCCAGTCGATAGCAGCCGCGAAGCGGCTGATATCGACTGGTAAATTTCTAATGTCCGTCTGCCCGACGTCCGACCGGGAATTCAATCCCGCCGCGATCCCCCTGTCTACCGTAGTCGGGGGCTGAAAATTTTCACCGGAGCTCTAAGCGTTTCGCCTTTTCCCTTTTCCCCCCGGGAGGGCCAGCGCTGAACCCCCGCGGAGCGGGGGGTCAGCGCTGGTTTTGTATAAATTTAATGATACTGCCAGCCGATTCATCTTTAAACTGAAGTTTTCAGGGATACCTTTTTGATCTTATGCATAGTCAAGCAAATAAGCAAGTTTATCCCAACTTTAAAGGTATCTTTGGTTTAATTTCATTTACATCAGTGCACGATTTGTCAGACAATGTATGAAATTTTTTTCTTGAATTTCACGTTTTTATCGTTTGAAAGCTAGTTAAAAAAGGCTACAATATCCGCATTTATTTTTGAAATGTTTGGCCGCAATTTTCAATAATTTGACGATAACTTGAAGCGCTTTCGACTTTTTTGATTGGGCGCGTGTTGAAATAAAAAGTGATATAGCTATATTTATCTCCATTCTATCCGATTATGGCATCTCGTCCATCCGCGTATGCAGATGCCATGCTTGAAGCCGTGGGCCCGGCAGCATGCGTCAACCAGGGGTGTGTCCTGAAAACGCCGATCGTTTTTTCTATAAAATATCGACGCTGAATTTTAATGCAACATAAGTGCCGCAACAGAAATAAAAAAATGGGTGAAAACTCTTCCGTAAAAACTATAAACTACCTAAAACCTAACCGTGCATTGACGAGGGCAATGATAGCGGGCCGCGATGAGGTCGACTGAAAAAAAATATAGAAAATCGAGACATTAAAATCTACATAAACAGCCAAATAATTGCACTAATAGCGCACTGCCAAGACCCAAAGGACCTACCACAAGCCATCACGAATAGCAGCAAGAGCAACGAACACTTCATGATAGAACGACTTCCGGTACCCTCGAGGCTGTGCTCTGGCGCCTGCCGATTCCATCTTATAACGCTGCCATCTTCCGCTTCAATCTGCGCCCAAAAAAGCCATTTTTCGTTCCAAACTCATGTCCATGCCGCAGAAAAATGTGAACGAGGCGCAGCGGATAAGATCTTGAACGGCAAAAATTGACGTCCTTTGCCAAAGCGTCACTTGCGCACAAAATTCCTTTCCCTCGCTCTCTCTCTCTCTCTCTCTCTCTCTCTCTCTCTCCCTCTTTCGATAGATACCGATATCGTCAAGAACGAGGTTCGAAGCTAATTGCTTCCCGTCGTGCGACACCCCTTGCAAGGTCAGAAATATGCTCGATGCCTTGAAAAGCCTAGGAAATTTAGGCTAATTTCATCCATATCTTTCTAGACCAGCTAAACGGATCTTCTAGGCCGGAGGTGGCGCTTCTAGCTGCCGACGAAGAGATGGCTTCCGTCAAGGCTTCTGCAGGTTTTCGAATGCCTGCCGCGGCTCCTAGTTAGATGGCAACCTCCCGAAATGTCACTTTTCTGCCTATATTGCCTATAGCGCGGTACTTTGATGAATAAAGTATACAAACACCGTCCTTTAGAGCATTTAGCTGAGCAGTGAATAATGCAGTTTATAGCGGGATGAAATTGAACTCGACTTTGTAATCGAAACCAGGTGACCAGTTTCAGGGCCGACATTTCGCGTGATGATTCAGCTTTCGCTGCCCGCCCGGAGGCGCAAGGTATTGGATGAAAAATGTCTTGTACTACCTAGAAACGGTTCTAAAACCCTTTTGTTTGCTTGAAGTCCTTTAACAGCATTGAAATCGAGCGGCAGTGGTCCCGGAAACCTGGAAAAATTTATTACGCTTCACACCTGGAGATAACGTGTCTATTTGGGGGCCATTTGGAAAAGATTGAGGGCCAATTTTTTGGCTTTCAGAAGTAGGAATTTTGCCATATTTGTATTGTAATCGCCTATATTTGAATTGGTCGCATAATTTGTATATTATCTTTACTTTACGCATAATTACCGATGCTATCAATTAAATAATGGGCTATTACAAACGTCTGAACGTTCATCTTGTACTCCGCGATGTTTCTGTCGTTTTTGAGGGTAGTATATAGCTCTACAATTTTAAAACCAGGCTTAGTCCTTTCAGGTAATTTTGCAATTTTACTTCACAAAATTACGCGCAAGAGAAAACCGATTTTTTTTGAAAATTTTAGGTTTAGAATTAGCTGAGCAAAGCCCAGCACCTGCTTAGGTCATCCAAACTCGCCTTTTACCGTCTCACTTTGCGTTGTTGTTTCCTATTTCACAGCTGATCATTTTCTTTCCTGATGCTGGGCCCCTCGTTGCGCCCTCAGGGCTTTCTTCCCCGCTGGCCTTTCGCGCTGGTTGTAATGCTGGGGGGAATTGGGTCCTTGGGTCTCCTCGGGCCAGCTAGGCTGTAACGGGTGTGTGTGCCCCCGACGACAAGCACTAACTCGACCCGGAGTTAAGTCTAGATTTATGCTATTTCTACAGGGTATCCCAAAAAAAACACCCCCTCGGCATTTGGCCGTCTTCGATCCGATCAGGACCAAATTTTTACCGGTGATGGGAACTCATAAAAACTATCTGCAGCCGAATTTTCTAAGCAAAATATGGTAAAACAAAAAAGGTATATCAAAATTAAGGTTTATTTTGCCGATTTCACTAGGATTTTGACGGATTTCGGCCTCGAAATGTTTAGCAAAATTGAAGAGGGCACTCTTTTCTACCTATAGAAATTTTTTGATTTACGAAAATTACGTTTAAATTGGGCCATTGGTTCACTTTTTATTATTGAAATTGCCAGTCAGCCAAAAACATAGCCAAAAACGAGTACCAGCGTTTTCCAAAAAACAGTTTTTTAGCGATAACTTTTTGGTTTTACAATATTTTGTTTAGAAAATTCGGCTGCACATAGTTTTTCTAAGGTCCCATCACCGGTAAAAATTTGGTCCTGATCGGATGGAAGACGGCCAAATGCCGAGGGGGGGGGGGGGGGGTTTGGGACACCCTATAGGCGTATCACTTTTTACGAACCTTACAAACATTTTTTTTGATACTTTTTAATAGCTGCCATTTTAATAAGAACCATGGGTGTTTTTAATATTTTTTAAGCGATCGCAGTATTGAAAATGAAGAACAAACACCGAAATTTGGACGTGGTGAGTTCTTACCCTTTTTTGTAAGCCTTTAATCTGAATAAATACCTATTGGCCTACAGCAGCTATATAACCCTTCCAGATCCACCACGGTTTGGTCCTTATTTCCGACGGAAAAGGGCGAGGAAGACCGTCTAGGCTATTGCTGACGAAAGGTACGACATTTTTATGACGTTTTTCTTTTTAGCAAGGTCGAGAATAAATAATGATATCTCCAGATCAAATATCGATTCAAATCCCGGCTGACCTCGTGGTCGACGAGCCGTCAGTAGCTCCAGAAGAGACGGCCACCCGACAAGTTGTTATCAAGAAGCGGAAGGATGTGCCAGGCTTGGGGTTGAGCATTCGGGTAGGATATATACAGGCCCGTACGGGAGCCGAGATTTCGGGGCACCCACCCAAAAATTTTGTCGACCTCCCCCCCCGGTCGCCACTTTCAAAACATTCGAAAATCGCGACAATAACAGCGCCGCAGGCGAAAAAATGTAGAAAACCGCGTTGGTAACGCTTGTTTTCGTGTGAAAACACATCGGAAACGGCGCGCGCAAGCGAAATTTTCTACCGCAAAAATGGTGCACTACTGAAAACGAGCGTCGCAGGCAAAAATTTTTAGGAAAATAGGCTTTCTAGAAGTAAAAATGGTTTCGAAACAGTGGTAAACAGCGCCGTAGGCAGAAAAATTTTTGAGGAAAAATCCTAAGGGTTCCCCCGGTAAGTTTTGCCTCGCCCTATAGATTTTGCCTCTGAAAGGTTTCGCTATTTTCGCCATTTTGATCGGGATTTTTTAAACGCCATTCGATAGAGCGTCAAAAAATATACGAAGAGTTTTAATTTAAGCCTACAATAATGTAAAATAAGCCTCGCAGGCAAAATGTTTATAAATAAAATTGATACCTTACCGAAAAACTGGCGCTGCAAGCGACAATTTTTGGAAAAATAGGTTTTATTGTAGTTTAAATTGTTTTAAAAACAATAATGAATAGCGCCGCAGGCAGAAAAATTTTTATGAAAAAAAACATAAGGGCCCCCTTATGAACTTTTCGGACCTCGCCCGATTTCGGGGCACCGTGCCCCGGTGCCCCCTCGTACGGGCCTGGATATATATCTGGAAATATTTATTACAACTTTGTAATGATTGCTTACCGCTCATACCTTGAAAAATTTAGGGAGGCGATCAGAACAGCAGCTTCCCGATCGTGATTTCGAAAATTTTCCCGGATATGCCAGGTGAGTTTAGAAAATGGTTCTTTCCCACGCGCTTGCGCACTCTCTCACACCCTCTTGTTCTCTCTCTACCTCTCTCGCTCGTTTCTCTCTCTCTGTCTCTCTTTCTCGCGCTCTCTCTCTCAAAACTCATTGATTCGTTTTCTATCTATACCTTTTTCCAGCCGAAGAAACCAAACAGCTCTTCGTCGGTGACGCTATCGTCGAAGTAAACGGTGTTGGAGTTGATGGAAAATCACATGATGAGGTATGTCTCTTTTATAGACAGTACTATTCTCGTTATTGAGGTGGTCGACATGCTCAAAAGCGACGCCGACGAGGTCACCCTAGGCGTTCGCCACTACACCAGTATCGCACCATATTTAAAGTATCCTCCAAACCAGTGTCCATGCTTTTTTTAGGCCTGCCGTATCCCTACAGCCCGGGAGAAGCGGCAGTGCTTTGGATAAGTTATACGAGCCGAATACTTGGAAGGTTATTAGTTCCTTTAAAACAGGATTACGGTTTTTGTAGTCAGCGATGAAAGCCCACTCGGATTTGGGGTTGTATGAAAAGAAACCTGACGGCAAGACGACGCATCACGCATCATTAGGGTGAGTAATGTGATGTGCAATTAGTTGAGGCGTGATTTTTATACTGTTAAAGATATATGCTACGCTTGGGTAATAATGGATAATAACGACATTTTTTTTAAATTACGAAACAATGTCAACTACTCTTATAGAACCCTTGATCGTGATGACGGAAAGTGGCGTACTATCTCTACGATTCCACTACCAATGGCTTACATTACGAGGTTTTTGTGGGGGACCGATAATTTAAGGTATGTTTCTGGCTATATAATTTTATTGTTATTTTTTGCACGCTATTTTATTAAATTGAACTTATATTCGCAGAGACGCTCACTGTTAC